TTCTCCACAGTTTTTGTTTTGAAATAATCATCATTAAAATGATCGAGCAATTGAAATAAAACATTAAAAGTTTCTCCGAATCTACAAAGAGTTATATCTCAGATCATTAATCTTGAAATATTTAGGAATTTAAAATGTTCTTTTTGTAATTAAAATGTTCTGTGTTTAGTCATCGGTTGCAGATAATAAATAAAGAGGCTCTCGACCCGCGAGTGAAGGAACAGTAGTCGTCTATGGAGCTGTAACTACACAGTGATGTCACCTGGTCATAAAGACTGGCTTAAGAGTTTGTATCCACGAACCAACAGCTAGCGATGTCCGAGCGGTATGTAAGTCGTGGTCGATGGTACCACTTCCGCCAGTAGAGGCAGGCGGTGTTAGCTGGTCCGCTCACACGTCACTGTTACATTCATCGTTAATCGTTATAATCTAACATTCCTTTGAGCCGCAGCTCGTCCGTGTCTGGTCTTAGATAACGAATCGCTTCAATAAGCATCACTTATATAAGCGACGGACTCAGGAACTCGTTGTATTGGTCGTATCGAGCTGATGTGAACACATGATCGGTTCGATTTAATTTTCTTTTAATAGGTTCAGAGCCGTCTAATAGTAAAAGTAGTAAGTGAACGAGTCATAGTCGCAGCGAGCGAGCCACGAGGGGAAAGTATCGGTCGCGCTCTCATTGTCTGCACTGTTCATTATAAATGCGCTCGACAACTAAATGTTTAACATGTTCGTATTATATAGAAGATACAATTATAAAGCTTGTTTTTTATCGACATCTTTATAACATATTTAATATTTTTTTTAATTTAAAGGTTTAATATTTTTCCACTGCCTCGGATTCACTGATGACACGTAATAGCCATCTTAAAACAGTCAACCAAAAAAAATATAGTAAAATGTAAATTAAATTGATCAACTAGGCTCTTACACGGTACATATTTAATGTGAAATATTCATTTCTGGACCCATACGGTCGACTCATAGTGACAGTAGCTGCTCCAGCTGGTATTAAACAACAAGTTGCTCACTTAACTGGCTGACATTCGATCACATTGTCACCTCTTCGCTATGTAATACTTTCTTATCGGTTTATGATAAAGTAGTTGTTATGCGATTTGATAAACGATTAGATCGTCCGTTCATATTGAAACCAATACTTATTCGCGATGAATTCTCGTTATTTGAATTACGTCACTAGAAAATTCAGTTTAATCGTTTGAACCACTTTGGACATTTATATAAACGGTGTGATTCATAACTAATCAAATTACATCACCTCTCTTTTTTGCGAGAAGCATTTTTTTCTGCAAGCTCAGCCAGAGTTAGTGGTATCGTTAAATTAAAGTGATTCCTAATATACCATCGTACAGACTTTCTTCCACACGGCAGCTGCCCACAGTAGCGACTGTATCATGAGCATTAATAACACGTCAGGTATATTGTTTCCACAACAGTGATCTCTCGAACAAGTTCAACCATCGCTGGCCCTAATTACGTTTCCGCATTAGCGTCATTACCGTGCCCGCCGCTCGTTTGTCTTTGTCGCTCTCTGTTCGGTAGGATCTTTTTGGTGACTTACCGTCGATGCGGTACATTTACAAACAAATCATGTTGACAATATGTAGCCCTGTAAGTCTTCATCTGAAGAGAGATTGTAATAATATTAAGTAATATTACGTACATTATGACGCCTGTGAGGAAGGCCATCGTCGTTAACATTTAATATCTCAAACGTCATATTCGATAGTTTTTGTTAATCTTCTATATATATAAAAATGGATTGCTGTTCCTTAGTCTCGCTAAAACTCGAGAACGGCTGATCCGATTTGGCTAATTTTAGTCTTGAAATACTCCTGGAAGTCCAGGGAAGGTTTAAAAGGTGAGAAAAATTGATTCATTACTGGGAAAACCATAAAAACAGCCCTTTTCTATTTCCCATACAAAAGTTTTTTTTGACATTAGATTTGACAACTAACAAATATGTCAATTCTGTTTGATTGAAACAGGAAAAACCTGATTATTTATGGCCTGTAAGACGGAATAGAGTTCGACTGGTCAGCTACACCTACATATATTACTCTTGACCAAACTAACGCGGACGAAGTTGCGGGCAAAAACTAGTAAAATATAAAATAGTTATGATCATTGTCATACAACAGCGGTCTGTAGTCCGTGTTCTCTGATCGAGGCATTAGTCGTGTAGTTTATTAAACATATCTGTAAGCAACTTCTTTATTGTATGAAATATATTTCTCGTGTATAACTCTGTTAATGACTGGTGAGTGTTGCCATAGCTGTGAATTTGTGACTCATTTCGAATCAGAATTAACATAATTTACACAACATCTCGCGTACGTCACGATCGAAGGTCGATTATAATACATTGTGATAATAGTTTGTGAATTTATTATGAGACGAGATTGTTCAATATCATATTGAACAATGAAAAAACTTATAAACTTATACTTATTAACCAAAAACTGTAAAATTTTTATAGCCATGTGAGATATGTTTATAATGGACATAATTGTTAGTAAAGACACATAATAATAAGACTATCAGTGATGGTAGAGAGTGAGTACACTCAATGTGTCTATATAAGAGATGTGTGCAATTAGAACATTACGATCACATATAAACAACGGAACGTAAAAAGCAAACCCACTTTCCATCGAAGAGCTTAGAGACAGAACGAACTGACAGCATAGCATACTAAACACACATGGAACAATGAAGCGACACATACATACATCAAAACAAATATATATTATAACGATCGGCGAAACGAGCACAGAAGAACGTTATTGGAGCGGCTTTGGAGCGGTTTAATCAAAAGATGCTGTGACTGTAAAGGAATTTGACGAACATTCAAGAGTAGCAGATAGCTACCACATCAATGAGTTACTACCGCACAAGCATATGTTTGTTTAGCACGTGACAGACATGAGACAGAGGACGAGTGCTCCGTCACCCGACACAGCTTACCTGCGAGGAAGCCGCGGCGGGCGTGGAGGCGCCGGACCACCTCCGACACCGGGCTGTCGGGCTCGCCTTCGACAAACACGAGAGTTACTCAAACATGCAGTCACGACCACGAGGTGCAGGAGATAGGAGGGGGGGGGGCAGGAGCTCGTCACAGGACACACTTGTTACTTGACAAACGATTATTTATATATATCAGTATGAGGCATCGGAAAACATTCTTTAAGTGCTCAAGACCTAGAGACAATCATGCTTGTTACATGTTAGTGAGTACTGTACATGATACACGAGGCACTAGAGATGATGACCATCAACCATCAAGGTGCAACTTACATCGAGGACAATATGAAATATTAACATCGGAAGCGACACGCTGTGGTTTCATTGCAGTAATAAATATCTATCGAAATTATTACTTAGCGATCACTGAGAAACATTTTAAATTGTTTTAGGGACATTGACGATGTTTATCTTATTTTAAGTACATACATACCGAGAATTCGTAAATGGCTTGGTTATATTGTACTAGGACGTGACTGAGTGACAGAAAAAAACTAAAAATGATAACGTGATATGTAAATAAATTTAGGAGATGTACGAATCAAAAAGTATTAGTAATATTTGCATCAAAACCTTCCGTTTATATCAAATGTGAGGGAAACTCGTTAATATTAGGAGACGGGGGGACGTAGAGCATGTCATGGGGATCAGTAATGACTCGTTGAAATAAATGAAGTGAAAGTAATAATTAAAAATAACGACCAGAACAATGGTAGGGGTCAACGACCGACATTCCTCAAGGAGGTTACACTTACCCACTAACTTACTTAATTACCAGTTAAGAAATTTTACTTTTGTTCCATTAGTATCAAACTAGCTATTTGAGAGCGATCTTACGTAAAACTATAGTCATATTTAGTGAATACGAGTGAGTCATTTTGAGTGAGTTTATCGAGTTAAGAATTGTGATTACACTAACACTGTAAATATGTACATATTGTTAAATAAAACAATGCTCGAAATATATGTGATATCAGCATTTGAAAACCAACCAAAGTACTTTGAACGACTGAAGACTTGTTGCAACACAATAATGTTGTACAGAATAGGCAAAAACATTCTGTAATATGATACTCCCACTCTACTACTTTGATCAATATATTATAAAAGCAATGCCCCTGAGTTTTAATAAATGACGAATATTTTTGTTATTAATATCATAATTTTGGAGATTCTATCCTTAACCTGATACATTGAGCATGGCATCCCTATTTTGATATGTTTGAATTGAAAGCGATATCTATTGGGATTAATGTTTGGTAAAATCTTTTCAATGAATTCTTATATAAGAACAAAAGTCTCCGTGACATGTAATAAACATGTTCTATATCTGGAACCATTAATAGGTGTAATAAAATGTATGTAACTGATATATGATGAACTCAAATAACAAATATATTCAAATTATCAAAAGTATAAATCAGCCAAAGTTAGTTTCACATTACATTGTATGAAACATTGTTATCAGTACCTGGTCATGTGATAATTGAATTTTAAAGTTTGTTAAGAATGTGTATGGAGAAGGTGTTGTATGAGAACATCTGATAGTAACGGCAATGAAGTCATTATGTTATCAAATGATAAGTGTTTATTCAGGTCAATATCTGGTGATAAGATGGGACTGAAACTAACTTAGGTATTGTGACTTTGAGTGTTTGACTTGTTACTGAATGTATATAATAATATTAATTATTATAGCCTTGTACGGCGCCACCTAACATACACTGATATGGTATGTGAAGTGTTTGTGGCGGTTACATTTCCTGGTAAACTGTTTACTTATTATGAAATATTTTGATTGAACATATTTTAAAGTTCTAAGTAAAGAAAGTTTAGAAATGACTTTCATTTATAATTTATACTTCTACAACGATTACACCTTCAACTGACTTGTATGGGCCTTATTGTTTTAAATGTGGGAAAAATATGTTCAATGAAATTCAATGACTTACCTCTAATGAGAGGTTCGGAGACAACATTAACATCTTCCTGTGGGATCATGTCCATGAGTCGTGCGATGTCGGTCGCCAGCATGTGGTCCACTACCTCCAGTAACTTGGGTTTGAGCGGATGGAACTTGGTGAAGTCGTGGTTTGCCAGGGTTTCTTGCATTTTCTTGATATCAGGGAAATCACCGGGAGATATTTGCATTTCTTTTTGTATTCTATCATACACTTGACCAAGATTTTTTATTAATTCCTTCTTTTTCCCATCCTTTCCGAACATTGAAGGCATTTCTTTCCTTAACTCACTAACTATATAAGCGTGCACTTTAGCGAGTCGTGCCCTTTTAATTAGGTCATTCAATTTACGTAATGCTGCATTCCTCGGGAGAGATTGCATGTCTCTGAAGAGATCCTGTTCCTCGTCCTCAAAGAGCCGCCTGTTGACGTCGTAGCGGAGAGGTTGGTCCCAGAATGATCCTATGTACACCCGGGCCACCTCGGGTGTCTGCAGCACCTTGCCCAGCGACCACATGAGAGCTCCGTACACTCGCATGAGCTGCTGATGATCGATCATGTCCGCCTTGTTGAGAACGATCCGTATTTTATCATCGTGCCCTCTCAGAGCTTCGATACTCCGTCTGAATTCGTCTGATATATCGAGTTTGTGGGCGTCGAAGAGGAGTACGATACGGTCGACGCGCTCCGCGAACCATTCCAGAACGCCCGTGAAGTCGTAACCTCTGTCCACGCGCTGCTTCTCCCCCGACAGAATACCGGGAGTGTCCACGATGGAAATACCTCTCAATACGGGGGAGTTCACAGTCGAACATTGGAATCTGTTTAAGAAGGCGTTTCCGAATTTACTGAGAGGTCGAAATTGTTTCTTGGGATCCACGACGAGTGCATTGCCGGGAATCATTCCTTCTTTTTCATCAAACATAACAGCAATAAATCTATCCGTTGTGGGCTCCGGCCCGATACGTATTCCAGGAAAATCTCTCTCTAAGAGATATTTGATAAAGGTCGTTTTGCCGGTAGAGTATTGTCCAACCAGAAGTATCATGGGTTTTGCATCAAAGTCCGGGTCTTCGAGTTGTGGGGAATGGAAATCATGGAACTGGTAATGTGATTCCAGCGGCAAAAGTTTCGTTTTGTATATCCTTTTGAGACCCTCGACGACATTTTCGATACTCTCTGTTTTTTCACCTTCTTTTTTAAGCCAGCTAAACATTTTTAGAACTTTATACTTAGCAGGAACAAATATTTATTTATACACTGCACCACTTAAATAAGAAAAAAAAATGTAAAACTGATAACAATTATTGCAAGACCACAGTGATCATCCTCTTTCGTAAGAATGAAATGAATGACGTGTTTGACACTTGTGCATTAAAGTTGCTGATTATAACTGCGAAAATAATGTTGCTATATATAACTGTCCATTTAAACTTTGTATAATGTTGATTTTACTATAGACCAGTGCCGATAGCTTTTAAAACATAATTAAATTAAAGTAGAATGAAACTCATTAGTAAAGGAGGGGAATACTATAAAAATTAAAGAAAAATAATTTACGGGCGATCTGAGGTCGGGAAGGTTATGGGGATGGGTATTTAAGGGTAAAAAGTGGGTTTTCTACATTTCCGGCAAAACTAAAAGTCCTACCGAAAAATGTTATAGGGCAAAGTTGCAGGTAATAAAAAGACCTAAAACTTTTATATTAACATTTTTTCACATAACCTTAAAATTTATGTGAAAAATTCGAAAAACCAAGTTTTTGGTTTTTTATTTTTATCTCTTACAAAAAACAATATTTTGTCATGAAATTTGGTGAAAACTTTCCTTTTGATGTAACAAATCCTCTGTAATTTATTTGATTAGAAATATTTCTTTTTTCAGCTTATTTTGAATAAACATCGAAAAATCAGCTTCATTTTCAAACGAAAAATCACCCGTCAAAATATCATCTATTTTCAAAACTTTGGTATGATTTCAATTTGTTGAAATCTCTATTTTCCGGCGGTGTAGAAAAAAAATACAAGTTTCTTACTTGCAGTACCATTTTAGGATAAAATAATCATGTCCCTTTTAATGAAATGACACTCGATATCGTTTGGAAAACGCTCTTTCAATTTATTTTTAGTAGTTTCAGAATCTTAATGTCAATTTTCTGTAAATTATCTAAAAGAGGGACTATCTGGAGAACTTCCAGAGTACACAACTATTAAAAATAAATTAGAAAGAGCATTTTTAAAATGATGTCGAGTGTCATGTCATTGAAAGAGACATGATTATTTTACAAAAAAATGGTACTGTAGTTAAGAAACTTATACTGTTTTCTTCACCACCGGAAAATAGAGATTTCAAAGAACAAAAAACACACCACATTTTTGAAAAAAGCTGTTATTTTGACGGATGATTTTTCGGTTGAAAATGAGGCTGCTTTTTCGTTATTTACAGTAATTACATATTTACAGTAATTACAGTGAATTTGGGACATCAAAAGGTAAGTTTTCACCAAATTCCGTGACAAAATATTGTTTTTTGTAAGAGATAAATATAAACAACCAAAAACTTGGTTTTTCGAACTTTTCACACAAATTTTGAGGTTGTGTGAAAAAAATGTTAGTATAATAGTTTTAGGTCTTTTTATTATCTACAACTTTGCTATATAACATTTTTCGATAGGACTTTTAGTTTTGCCGGAAATCTAGAAAACCCATTTTTTACCCTTAAATACCCCTCCCCATACCCTTCCCGACCTCAGATTGCCCGTAAATTATTTTTGCTTTAATTTTTATAATATTCCCCTCCTTTTCTAATGAGTTTCATTCTACTATAATTTATTTTCACTTTTCATTAATTTTAAAGGCTTCTGCACTGGCCGACTATTTTAAAATCAATTTGTTACATACTTGTAGGCTAGGACATAAGTTGTAAAACGCTAAAGGGACAAATACAAAAACCAGATTATATATAAAATAACATTTTTAATTTTTTTTTATTAATTACCTAAATGTTATTAGCATAAAAAACCTTATTCGTTTTATTAAATATCTTGGATTTTCTATGGCAAGGACCTGATAATGCGAGCTTTCTGACGTCCATCTCCATATTATCAGTATATTAAATTTTCACTATGTACGTTATATATAAAGATTTAGATTTATAAGTAGTTATAATTATTTTCAAACAGATATATTATCTATAAACAAATTTTAAACAAAAAAATAATAATCCGCCATTTCTTCCTATATGAAATATAATCTCAAAAATCAAGAACTTACAGCAAGTTTAAAGTTGTTAAAAAAAACCTAAAAATCATAAACTTTTGTAAACACGAGTAGATAGAAAATAATAAAACATCGTTTAAAACTGTAATGTAGTGTTGAATAAAAAAGTTAAAATGACGATATTTCATGACGAAATAGAAATTGAGGATTTTGAATACGATGAAGATGACGACATGTATTACTACCCTTGTCCTTGTGGGGATAGATTTCAGATAAGTAAGGTTAGTATTCATTTCTACACGACAAAAAATAAAAACAGGTATATTTGTTAATATACGTTTATGATACAGGAAGAACTATTAGCCGGGGAGGAAGTAGCCACATGTCCCAGTTGTTCTCTTGTAGTTAAAGTAATATATGATTTGGTAGGTTTTTTTTTTATTTTGAAACAAATTAGTTCAAAAAAAGAATTTAAAAAATAATGTAAAATATTTTTTCCAGGAACGATTTAAAGCCGAAGCGGAAGAAATACACGAGGATAAAACAGATAAAGAAACTGTGAAGGCTTAAAGTTTTATGAATCAACATGATGCTTGTGCAATGATTTAACAGGTTTCCTAGTGGTTTGTAAAGCCACTGTTTGAAACGAAGGAAGAGTACTGTGATGACATGTGATAGTAATAATAAACGGATTTCATGAATAATACTTTATTTAATATTATACCATTACACACACTGCCACGAAGCGCTAGCTAGTCTTTGGTGCAGAGTTATACAATAAACTGGTTACTAGACCAGGTATTAATTAAAATACAACATACAAGCATTACATAGAAATGCAGTTTGACTAGTCACAGAAACCGTCCCTACGCTAACATACAAACAGCTGGTACAAGGAACAGGGTGTACATATTGTCAATTCTTATACATAAAAAGATTTACAATATTTAAACATTATTTCTATCATAATTTGATCACTCTATTAAAACCATTTCCTCTTATTAAGTACATGAGACATGTTTTGCTCAAGCTCAATTAGTTTAAGTGAACACAAATACCAACTTAGCAAACAACATTTAATAAAACAATTTCATCATACAGTTAGCTTAACTGTATACATTCAACCATCATGATCACTATAAATATGGTAAAAAAAGCTTTGGAAGGATAAAATGAGCTGCTGTATGGAAATAATTTACACCTACTGGAATTATAAAAATATCTTCTATACAAGGAATTTAAAGCATACAATTATTGGAATGACAAACATTTTAATATTAACAGTATATTTATAGTGCTCATTATAAATAGAGAGAAAATACATACACAAAGATGATCAGAGATCACACTTGTGTGACTACTGTGTAGTGTTTTAATAAAATATAAAATGTGTTGACAGTACATGCAATTTGACTAGAAGACAATCCTTTTTATTATAAAGATTAAAGCTACAAGCATGTCACTGTCGGTTGTAGTTGTTTATAAGGAGAGACAGATCTTGTATCACACTTACTTTGAAGGGTGAATAAATAAGAAAATAAAATGCTATGTGTCTGTACATATACATACTATACACAATTGGATATAAAACCTTCAGTTTAATTGAAAAATTAAATAAAATTGCTATCAAAGATATAAATACATTAGTAGTTTTGTATTTTGATGTGATTTATGATTTATATATGGTTCCATTGATACATATAGTGAATTAAATAGAAAATATACCTACTAACCTAAAATAATATTTAGAAGTATTTACATCAAAGGGCCGTTAGATAATTGTCTAATAAATTTATATAATTTGTTAAATAAATAAAGTGTCCATTTAATAGTTATTAATAGAATGTGGTTATAATACTATAAATAAAGCTCATTATAATTAATACTATTCTTTACTATATGAGATAACTGTCTTCACAGAGATTTAACATGTATTATTATCGAAAATGAAATATAAAACTCATACTTATCCTAGTCCTGGTTTCCGACCACTTCTTGTGCCTCACTGAATGTGGATATGACTACTCAGAAAATTATAAAAA